ATTGAACCCAGCTCTCTCTGGACCGCAGGCCAACACTCTAACCGCTGAGCCAAACTGGCCAGGGCGACAAATTTTTCTTTTAAAAATCACAAATAGCCCTGGCCGGTTTGGCTCAGCGGTTAGAGCGTCGGCCTGCGGTCCAGAGAGACCCGGGTTCGGTTCCCGCTAAGGGCACGTACCTCGGTTGCAGTTTGTCCCCGGCCCTGGTTGGTTGTGCAGGTGGCAGCCGCTCGATGTGTCCCTTTCACGTCGATGTTTCTCTCTCTCTCTCCCTCCCACTCTGTCTGAACAAAAAATGGAAAAAAAAATGTCCTCCGGTGAGGATAAAAATAAATAAAAATCACAAATAACATGTTGCTAATATATGAAGAAGCTTCAAAGGGCAATTGAAAAATCAAAAGAACAAAGAATTAAAATCAGGTTTAAAGTTTGTGAAGAGGAAACTGAATTTCAGTAACCCAGAGACTAGGGAAGATAATACAGGTCCTACAAGAGGTTCATTACAAAAAGAAATACCAGGATTGGTCAGATTACTAACCTTAACACTAGAGCAAGGGCTCCAGTACGTTTTTCTTTTTAAAGATTTTTTTATTGATTTTTAGAGAGAGAGAGGAAGGGAGAGGGGGAGAGAGAGAAACATCGAAGCACTGATCAACTGCCTCCTGCACACCCCCTCACGGGGAAATCAAGCTACAACCCCAGCATGTGCCCTGACAGGGAATCAAACCAGCAATCTTTTGGTGTGTGAGACAATGCTCAACCAACTGAGCCACACCAGCCAGAGCCAACCAGGTTTTTCTTAAATTATTTTATACCCTAAAAAAAAAAAAACACTCTTATTTGTAAATTTTATTTTATTTATTTATTCGCATTTATTTTCAGATAGGGAGAAAGGGAGGGAGGGAGGGGGGAGAGAGAGAGAGAGAGAGAGAGAGAGAGAGAGAGAGAGAGAGAGAGAAACATCGACATGAGAGGCACATCGAGTGGCCACCACCCACACAACCCCAACCAGGGCCGGGGACAAACTGCAACCGAGGCACGTGCCCCCAGCGGGAACCAAACCTGGGCCTCTCTGGTCCGTGGAACGACGTTCCAACCAGTGAGCCAAACCGGTCAGGGCTTATTTATTTTTGTTAATCATCACCCAAGGATATTTTTCCATTGATTTTTTTTTTTTTTTTTTAAGATTGAGGGGAGGGCTCTGGCCGGTTTGGCTCAGTGGATGGAGCGACAGCCTGCGGACCAAAGTCGCAGGTTCGATTCCAGTCACAGCACATACCTCAGTTACAGTTTGTCCCCAGCCCTGGTCAGGGTCTTGCGAGAGGCAACCAGTTGATGTGTCTCTCTCACATTGATGTTTCTCTCTCTCTCCCTCTCTCCTACTCTATCTGAAGATAGATGGAAGAATATCCTCAGGTGATGATTAAAAAAACAAAAACAAACATTGATGTGAGAGAGACACATCGACTGGTTGCCTCCCTCATGATCACAACCTGGGCCAGGTATCAAACCTACAACCAAGGTATGTGCCCGTGACTGGGAATCAAACCCAAGATCCTTTGGTCCGTTGGCCGACACTCTAACTGCTGAGGCCAAACACACCAGGGCTCAGTTGTAAATTTAAAAGATTCTCAAACATAATTTGAGATTTGGTAATTTATTTGCATAAATTTTTTTCACACCTTGGAGCCTTTACTATACTGTTTTTTTCCTTGGGAATGTACTCTGGGTACTAGAACCATCACCCATTGCTATTCCCATCCTCAGTACCAATTATAAGAGCTCAGGAAATACTCAATGAGTTTATGAATTTCAATAGGACAAACTCCTATTTGTCACCATAACAAATTCTCAACCAAGGAGGTATATATTAGAATGTCCTGGGAATGAATATACCATATTATAATGTAATTTTATATTTGTAACAATTTTATATGTATATAAATTTATATATGTAACTTTATCTTTTTTTGTAATAGAAACTATCAGAAGTTGAACCAAGATTGGAAATCATGGAGCTGAGGAGGGATAGCAGTGTAGAAGAATTTTCACTTGAGTTTTATAAATGATTATTACAGGAAAGCAGTAAAAATAATTTTGAGAAACACCAGCCTAAGCTACTGGAAGAGACTAGCAGGACAGAAAACTTGTAGGGTGGACGGGACCAGAACAAAGACTAGGGAGTGCAGACTTTCTCCTAGACAGTTATCAATATTTTAATAAGTCTAATGTTTAGTAAGCTTTCTACTAAAGTAAAATATACAGAAATGTGCAAAAATCTTAAGTATATAATTCAATGAATTTTCACTAGTTTTTGTACTAAAACAAAATATTAAACTGGACGCTATTTTATTTAAGATTCATGTATCAATTTGATTAATGCTAACTACAAATGTGGCATTGCAACAGCACGACACCATTACTCCAGAATCCATTAGGGACCATGTCTCCAGGGCCTGTATGTAGATTTGCTCTAGATTAATCTTACTAGACTACTTTGATCATGTACCTTGCTCAAATTCCTTCAAAGCATTTCTCATTCTTGAGTTTACAGTCCTAAAACCTAGCCTGTGCCAGCTATTCTACTCACCCTTCTGCAGATATATGGTTTGAAATAGGTAGAGGAGATGAGCAAAGTAAGTTAAGGTTGGCCTTGGTATACTAGAAACTCCTATTTCACACAGATGCAGATGTGACCATCGTGAGGTGCTTAATGAGAAGGGAGCATTTTCTGTATCATTCAGTTTTTCATTCAACATTTCCTGAACACCCACTTTGTGGCAAGTGCTATAACAGATTGTGCAGATACAAAAATAAATATGACACAGTTCTTTGCCCTCAGAGCCTGCAGGTCAAGTATAATTCCAACATGCTATAAATGCCTTTTTGTTTTCTCAAAAAAATGTTTTCAAATTTTGCAAAAATCCCCTTTTAGTAACTTTTATTTGAGGCAGTGACTGGAGGAAACCATTTGCAGAAGTGCAGACGTAATAAATATTACCATTTCACTTAAGTCAATAATTCTTTTCTGGTTGGAAAGGAGTTACTACATGCAAAACACTATGTAATAATATCAGAGTATAAATCCCAGCTGTAGAAATAGAATGCTATTGCTGTTCTTACTGAGTTGTACTCATAATGAATGGCTGTCTATGCTTCATCTGAATAAAACTCCCAACTGCTCAGTGTCTTCTTGCCAAAAATTCCCCTTCCTCCTCCAGATTGGAGTTGCATTCCAATTACACTGCTGATTGGAATGAGACTGCTTGAGAGGAAAAAAACACTCAGACATCCCGTCTTCCTTCACCCCACAAAAACAGATTTTATAATACTGTTCTTGCAACTCAAAAGTTGTATAGACTATTTTTGAACAGAGTAGATTTCTCTGAGTTTTCTTTGAACTTATATTATCATTGTAAAATAAAACTGAAGTTCAGGATAACATTCCTATTCAAATTCCAACAAGATGGTCTAGTGTTTTAAAAATGTCGACTAATATACACCCTTCCTGATCACTGGCACATGACAGTAATTTAGATCTTTCTGCTCCAAGAAACAACCTCTACCTCAACTCTTAAATGTGAAATGAAAATGAAAAGTTCTACAGAAAACTGTACACATGATTTTTATATATGTGTGTTTTAGTTATTGCTGCTTGAAACAGTAGCACTACACAAAGATTCACATTCAAGAGCATTATTATTATAAAATGTTGCAGTGAGCAAAAGCATGTGCACAACAATAATCTAATGGTTAAGGATGACAAACAGCATGTTGAAGCATTACACAGCCATTAAAATTACGTAAATATGTTTACTGACAAGAAGATATTTTCTTAATATGTTAAGAGTAAAAGTCCATTTACAAATAGTACATTTAATACAATGTAACTTTAGTATGAAATATAAAGATTGGATAACATTTACTGAATATTTACTATATGTAAGTGTACACCAACTACTCTGAAATCAGTAGTATTATTTTATTTATTTATTTTGGTATTACCTACATTTTAGAAATAAAGAAACTAAAGTTCAGGCATAAAAGACTTGCCAAAGATTACATATACTGTAAGTTACAGAGTTTAGATTCCAAGTCAAATTAATCTAATTACAGAACCCAAACTCTTAACCATCATATATAGAATGAATCATAGTCTCAGGTCAGCTCTTCCTTTTCAAAGAAACTTAAATGCTGGTTAAAGCAATTATCAGTGATACAGGTTCACAAAATGGTTAATAGAAACCAAGGTTGCAGAAGAGCCTTCTCCAAAAGATAAGAAGCAATTTTCCTCTTTCAACAGATATAATAGTTTACCTCTACAATCATATTAGACCTGCTTTTAACAAATATCATGCCACAGTGCCATTTAATGAAGGAATTTTAGGCAATTCATTTCACGCCATGTTGCAAAACAAACTGGGCCTCTAAGTTTAACTTAATGGACTTAGTACCTGGCAGTAATTAATTTAATTAGTGTATAAGATGATGTATTAAAAGATTCAGGTTCTACCACAATGAGGTAAATATTCTTACTAAAATAACAAACAATATCAGCATTTAAATATTTCACCAAAGAAAAACTGGTTCTCAAGTCAACCAAGTATGACCTTTCTGGCTCACTCATATCAAACAACTTTTAAGTAACTACTTTTATTATTTTTTTTTCTTTATTGATTTTAGAGAGAGAGGAAGTAATAGGGAGAGAGAGATAGAAACATCGATGAGAGAGAACGTTGATTGGCCGCCTCCTCCATGACCCCCGCTGGGATCTGACCACAACCTGTGCATGTGCCCTGACCGGCAATTGAACTGGTGACCTCCTGGTGCATGAGTGGATGCTCAACCACTGAGACACATCAGCCAGGCAGTAACTACTTCTTAAAATTTTTTTTCAAACAGACGATTTTAGTCAAAAAAATTTCCCGACAAGTGTAGTTTTCAACTGAATAAAACTGAAAGGTTAGTGTATACAAATAAGCTTTTTGAAAGTTAAGTGCATGCTTGAAGCTCTGGACTGCATCCTACCACCAACTCATCCAACTGACAAGCCCCTGAGTCTGTCCCTCGAGGATGTCTACAAAATTGGTGGCATTGGTACTGTCCCTGTGGGCAGAGTGGAAACTGGTGTTCTCAAACTCAGCATGGTAGTAATCTTTGCTCCAGTCAATGTTACAACTGAAGTAAAGTTTGTTGAAATGCACCATGAAGCTTTGAGTGAAGCTCTTCCTAGGGACAATGTGGGCTTCAATGTCAAGAACATGTCTGTCAAAGATGTTCGTTGTGGCAATATGGCTGGTGACAGCAAAAATGACCCACAAATGGAAGCAGCTGGCTTCACAGCTCAAGGTGATTATCCTGAACCATCCAGGCCAAATCAGTGCTGGACATGCACCTGTGTTGGATCGTCACACAGCTCATATTGCTTGTAAATTTGCTTAGCTGAAGAAGATGATTGACTGTCGTTCTGGGAAAAAGCTGGAAGATGGTTCTAAGTTTCTGAAATCTGGTGATGCTGCCATCATAGATATGGTTCCTGGCAAGCCCATGTGTGTTGAGAGCTTCTCTGACTATCTCCCTCTGGGCTGCCTTGCTGTTCATTGCATGAGACAGACAGTTGCTATGGATGTCATCAAAGCAGTGGACAAGAAGGCAACTGGAGCTGGCAAAGTCACCAAGTCTGCCCAGAAAGCTCAGAAGGCTAAGTGAATATTATCCCCAATACCTGTCACCCCAGTCTTAATCAGTGATAGAAGAAAAGTCTCAGAACTGTTTGTCTCAATTGGCCATTTAAGTTTAATGGTAAAAGACTGGTTAATGATTACAATGCACCATAAAACCTTCAGAAAGGAAGGAGAATGTTTTATGGACCATTTGGTTTTTTTGTGTGTGTGGCAGTTTTTAAGTTATTAGTTTTTAAAATCAGTACTTTTTAATGGAAACAACTTGACCAAATATCTGTCATAGAATTTTGAGACCCATTAAAACAAAGTTTAATGAGAAAAAAAATGAATAAAGTTAAGTGCAAGTTTATTAATATTTTCAACACAAAAACAATGATCTATTTTCATATAATAAATGCAGGTATTATTTGTTCTAGCCACAACTATAGATTTTTACCTTATAGTGATCAGAGGTAGCTTTAAAATAAAGCTTCTCTTAGGAGCATAATCAAGTTCTCATGTTAAGTTCCTATGTCAAAAAATAAATAAGGTTCAGCTAAAGACAAGCAGGACATTCAGCATGAAATAAATGTAAAGCATGTAGTCTTGGTACCTGGCACATAGCAGGCACACTTTGGAAGCTATTGCTGCAAGGAACTATCTGAAAGCATTTCAGCTATATATCTTTTTCTTTTTTTTATTGTCACTGGAGGATATTCTTCAACTGATTTTCAGATAGAGAAGGAGGGGGAAAGAGAGAGAGAGAGAAAGAGAAACATCGATATGAGAGACACATCGACCTGCCACCTCCCGCAGACCCCAACCAGGGCCAGGGACCAAACTGCAAAAGAGGTACGTGCCCTTGACCAGAATCAAACCTGCAACTATGGTCTTCGGGCCAACACTCTAATATCTGAGCCAAACCAGCCAGGGCTCAGCTATATATCTTAAATCAGTATTTCTGTAAATTCATTTCTCCAACTTGACGATAAAAACACATAAGAGTACTTTCCTCCATTCATAAGGACAGTAAATTCACTATGACTTAAGGACCTCCTACGCTGTTTGCAGACTAAATGCTGTCCTCACTAGTACTACTGGAGATTCAACCACCACCTCCCCTCTACTGGACACCTTCACTCAAACAGACCCACTTCCTTGCTGATAACTGCTCAAGAGATTGATAGACTATATCTAAATTCAGCCACACAATAACTTACTTTCTTCACCGGAACACCAAGAGAAAGAAGCTTTATTATACAATTCAAGTACTGTACAGTTGCAATAAAGCCAGAACACTGTTCTATACGTACAGAAAATGTTGCATCACTTTCAGGCCACTCCCAAGTTTCTCTCCTTTACCTTCTTTTTCTATAGACACTTAACAAAAGACAGCATAGTATACTGTTAAGCTATAAGCACTATATAAAGTTAAACACTTTGAGTTAGATGCCTGAGTTTTGCTGTCACTTATTAACTTCTGACCCTGAACAACTACTTAATATCTCTTTAGCTCAGATATCTCATCTGTAAAAAAGAGATACTATGAGACAGACTCCTCATGGTGTTGGTTTAAAGATTAAATCACTTGAAACACATAAAAACACTTGGAATAGTACCTGGCATACAGCAAATGCTCAATAAATATCAGCTATTATTAGTCCTTCTACTCTACAATTTAAATAAAATTAAACCATCAGGTTGTAAACATCTTAAAGAGCAAGAAAGGGGTCTTTCTCACAGCCTGGTGAGAAGCCCACAAAAGGGACTTAGCATTCATCTCCCACAACTCTGGAGGCTAAGCAGTCCAAGATCAAGGTGTCAGCAGATTCAGTGTCTGGTGAGGGCCCTCTTCCTGTTTTGCAGATGGCAGCGGTCTTGCTGTGTATTCACATGGCTAAGAGAAGGATTCTCTCTCAAGCCTTTTCTTATAAGGGCCCAAATTCCCAATATAAGAACTCCATCCTCATGACCTAATTTTACCTTCCAAAAGCCCTACCTTCAAACACCATCACACTGGGGATGGGGGCTCCAACATATGAAATTTGGGGGACACAAACATTCAGTCAATAACAAAGTTTGTGTATTTCGTAAACTTTCAGTGAACACTAGTAAGTGCATCTAAATGTGTCTAGCCTCACTCCTCTCCCAAGCTCCAAGTCCATGTTTCAATCGACTATCCCATAGTCAATTGAAACCTCACCAGCATTTCAAATTAAATTTATTCAAAGTTGAATTAATCAGCTTCTCTAATGAGCCAGCTCTTCTTCCTTTTGACCTCCCTAGTTTTGTGAGCTGTACCACATGCTTCCCCTTATCCAGAAAGCAAATGTCTTTCTTATCACTCCGTCTCCCCGACCACCCCACATCTAAAGCAGCTGCCAGATTATATCCAGTATCATGTATTTCTCTGCCTATTTCCATTTCCAGTATTCACATTTAAATAATATATCTATTTTATAATGTGTCAAAAAAAAATTTCCACAGTTTTTTACTTGATCCTTAAGTTTGTGAGTTACATTTTAATATCCACTGAGCCCAGCTGGTGTGGCTCAGTGGTCCAGCATCAATCCATGCACCAAGAGGTCACCAGTTCAATTCCCGGTCAGAGCACATGCCCATGGCACATCCCCAGTGGGGGGCATGCAGGAGGCAACCAATCGATGCTCTCTCTCATCTATGTTTCTATCTCTCCCTCTCTCTTCTTCTCTCTCTAAAATCAATAAAGGAAAAATTTTTTTTTTTTTTTAATCCTCATCCGAGGACATTTTTCCATTTTTTGTACAGACAGAGTGGGAGGGAGAGAGAGGAAGAGAGAGAGAGGGAAACATCGATGTGAAAGGGACACATCGAGTGGCTGCCACCCGCACGACCAACCAGGGCCGGGGACAAACTGCAACCGAGGTACATGCCCTTAGCGGGAACCGAACCCAGGTCTCTCCGGACCGCAGGCGGACGCTCTAACCGCTAAGCCAAACCGGCCAGGGCATAAAGGAAAATTTTTTAACATCCACAGAAAAGGAAACCATGGCTGAGAGTTGTGGCTTGCCCCAACCTGTCACCTAGTAAATGAGCATTTTGAATCCAGGCTCCATCCTCTTTTTCTACAGATTCCTCATTCAAAAGGTTATCAATGATCCCCAGCCTCTCTCTCATTAACCTCTAGACTGAAAATCTCAACCTCTATGTTCCCACAAATAAGCCCAGGACTTTTCTGCCTTTGCCATTATTCAAAATATTCCTCCCACCTCAAGCGCTATTATTCTAACCACTAACCCTCAAAATCTTATCCATTTGTCAAATTTCAATTCCATGTGAAACCTTCTCTGATTCTCCTTTCTCACAACCTGATTTTGTTCTCTCCCTTCCTGTGAACTTGCAACAAAACTTTGACTTGTTTTATTATTTTTTCTATTCTTACCCAAGGACATTTTTCCATTCCTTGTTCAGAGGGAGGGGGAGGGGGAGAGGGAGAAACATCGACGTGAAAGGGACACATCGAGTGGTTGCCACCCGCATGACCCAACCAGGGCCGGGGACAAACTGCAACCGAGGTACGCACCCCCAGCGGGAACCGAACCCAGGTCTCTCTGGACCACAGGCCCATGCTCTAAGTGCTGAGCCAAACCAGTCAGGGCAAATTTTGACTTGTTTTATATGTCCCTTCTCACTTGCTTGTATTAAAGTTATTTACATGATGTCTTATCCTTCCCTCTATGTCCCATTAAGCTCTACATTTCTTAGAGACAAAGTTGTGACTTTTCAGCTCTCCTACAGTTTATTACATAATATCTTAAATATAATATGCACTCAAATACTTGCTAAATCAAGATAATTCTTAAAAAACCACTGCCAAAGGTGATTTTCTGCTCACAGGATGAACAAACTAAAAGGTAAATAATAAAGCAAACCTCACTCCTTGCTTCTCTTAACCTAGTACGTCTTTTTCTTCAAATCAGAATTGCTTCCTTAACTATTCATAAGCACTCTGCTTACCCTAGGGCCTAACTACCTACTGGAGCCCTTTCCTAATATCAAACACTGAACCTTCTCTGTAACACACAATAAAAAGGTACGTATATTGTCACATAATGTTCTTCAATTATATTACTCTTATTTCTATGACGATGTAAACAAGGATAAGCTCCTTGGGCCCGGCCGGTGTGGTTCAGTGGTTGAGCGTCAACCCATGCACCAAGGGGTCGCTGGTTCGATTCCCAGTCAGGGCACATGACCTGGTTGTGGGCCTAATCCCCAATGGGAGTCATGCAGGAAGCAGCCAATCTATGTTCTCTCTCATCAATGTTTCTATCTATCTCTCTAAAATCAATAAAGAAAAAGCATTAAAAGGAAAAAAAAAAAGGGATAAGCTCCTTGGTCTTCTGCACCTTCCAACCTCTAAAAAACTAGTCCCTCAAATACCTGATGATCTGCCCTAATAGAGCAAAGTGGCTGCCCAAGATACTTCATTTCCCAAATAGGATCCATATGTAAACACAGGTCACTCACTAGTACAAATAGGAAAAAAGACTACAACTATAAAAAGCTATAATTTATAATAAAAAATACTTCTTTATAACTTCATACTTTTGAAGTTTTTCCTATGTTCACTGGGAATTACTAAATGTAATAAACTTTTTATTTTAGAATAATTTTGGACTTACAGAAGTTACAGAGCACAATGTTTTCATATACCCCACATCCATTTTTCCTAGTATTAATATCTTACATTAGTATGGTACATTTGTCACAGTTTAATGAACTAATATTGATACCTTATTTACTAAAGTTCATATTTTATCCAGATTTCCTTAGTTTTCACATTTTTATCTGTTCCAAGATCCCACTGAGGACACTATATTACATTTAGTCATCATGTCTCCTTAGGCTCCTCTTGGCTATGACAGTTTCTCAGATTTTTTTCTTCTCAGACTTGTTATTAATGACCTTGACAGTTTTTAGGAATACTGGTCAAGTGTTTTGCAGAATGCCCCTCAATTAAATTTGTCTGATTTTTCATGATTATTCATGATTATGGGTTGTTGGAGGAAAAACTACAAAGGTAACTACCATTCTCACAATATCAAATCAACAGTATATACTATCAACATGGCTGACCAATGTTGATATTAACCTTGACCTGCCTCAGGTTGCTTTTTTAAGGTTTCTCTATGGTAGTTACTCTTTTATCCTCCTTTCCATTCTGTACTCTCTGGATGGAAGTCACTATGCACAGCCCACACTTAAGAACCAGGGAGTTAGTCTCACCTCCTTAACACTGGAATGTCTACATAAATTATCTGGCATTCTGCATGGGAGATTTGTTTACCCTCTTCCATGTATCTA